AACCTAGATGTCCATCGACAGATGAATGGGTAAAGAAGCTGTGGTACATATATACAATGGAATACTACTCAACCATAATAGGGAACACATTTGAGTCAGTTCTAATGAGGTGGATGAACCTAGAGCCTATTATACAGTGAAGTAAGTCAGAAAAAGAAATGTAAGTATCATATACTGATGCATATATATGGAATCTAAAAAGATGGCACTGATGAATTTATTCTGAGATCAGCAATGGAGAAACAACAGATCTATGGACATAGGGGGAGGGGAGGAAGGAGAAGAATAGATGTATAGAGAGAGTAACATGGAAATTTACAATACCAAATGTGAAATAGATAGCCAAAGGGAATTTTCTGTATGACTCAGGGAACTCGAACAGGGGCTCTGTGACAGGCTGAAGGGTAGAATGGGGAGGGAGGTTTGGGAGGGAGAGGACATGGTGTACCTATGCCTGATTCTTGTTGATGTGTGACAGAAAACCACAAAATTTCTGTAAAGCAATTATCCTTCAATTAAAAATTGTTTTTAAAAATCCATGTAGTTTGATTTTCTGCCTAAAATTGAAATCTAACATTTGACATTACTCTTCAGAAGCCATAGATATGAACTTTTGGTCTCTAAAAAGAATATTACTCTCAAGAGTATATCTTTGCTGACTCTTGGAGTAGCAGCACTGTCCTTTACTTCTGATTTTCTTTCTACATGGAGTCACCATCCAGTACAGTTCTGGCCTTGCTCTGCCCTTTCATTCACTCCTTCCCAGGTTAGGAAGAGTGAAAGGAGGGAATCACAGGATGCCTTTTTACAGAAGGTGGTTGTGCCTTGCCCTCCCATGCCAGGCATTTGTAAGAACAGGCACAGTGGTCCAGTGGTGCCAGTGAATGGCAAAGTCTGTATTTCTGGGGTGCGGTGTAGGAGACAAGTTGTTACTACAGATTTAAGCCATGTTCTCCAATATCAGTTTTATCAGTAATGATGACATTTTTATCTCCAATCTGCCTGAATGTCTGTACCTTTTTCCAAGTTGTTTAGGAGCTTATTGGAGAATGGTGATGTTACTGACCTTCCTCAAACCCCAGCTTGACAATGCTTACTTGTTACATACCATGGAACATTTATAAATGCAGGTAGCTCTTGGAATTCCAATCCAAAAGAATGGACAGTCTCTGACCATTATGAATAAACCCACAACATACCTTCCCTTTAAACAGTCTGTTTTTCTGCTATGCAGTATAGACATTTGAAATTTCTTTTAAGATATATTTTGCATAAAAACTTTTAAAGGCTTATTTTTTTTTCTTTTAAGTGCTTTTCTTGGATGACAGCCTGGTGTTTTATTTTTATTTGACATCATGCTAAGACCGGCAGCACAACACCCTAGTAGATTTCCTACATAAATAATGACCAATTATAAAATATAACAGAAGAAAAGATCTTATTTATAATAACATAACTTCACCAGAAAAAGATACCTATGAAAAAATTACCAAGTAAACAAGAAAAACTTTACAAAAGTGTTGAATATAAATGAAGGCCTGAAAATTTATGGAAATATATGTTTATCTGAAATGTTCAGCCATGTTTATCTATGATAAGTTCAGCCATGAAATTAAAAGATGCTTGCTCCTTGGAAGAAAAGCTATGACCAACCTAGACAGCATATTAAAAAGCTGAGACATTAATTTGCCAACAAAGGTCCATTTAGTCAAAGCTGTGGTTTTTTCCAGTAGTCATGTATGGATGTGAGAGTTGGACTATAAAGAAAACTGAGCACCAAAGAACTGATGCTTTTGAATTGTGTTGGAAAAGACTCTTGAGAGTCCCTTAGACTGCATGGAGATCCAACCAGTCAATCCTAAAGGAAATAAGTCCTGAATATTCATTGGAAGGACTGACGCTGAAGCTGAAACCCCAATACTTTGGTCACCTGATGCAAAGAACTGACTCACTGGAAAAGACCCTGATGCTGGGTAAGATTGAAGGCGGGAGGAGAAGGGGACGGCAGGATGAGATGGTTGGATGGCATCACCAATGCAATGGACATGATTTTTAGTAAACTCCAGGAGTTGGTGATGGACAGGGAAGCCTGGTATCCATGGGGTTGCAAAGAGTTGGACACGACTGAGCAACTGAGCTGAACTGAATGTTTATCTAAGAAGATTCAACATTATAAAAATATTAATGCTTCCCATATCAAACTCTACCTATAATGCAATTTCAATAAGCATACCAAGGAAATTTAAGTAGTAGCACTAGTTCTAAAATTCATATAGAAAAATGAGGGAAACCAGGGGAAAAAATGTGAAGTAAAACTTAATGAAGGGATTGGCTCAGGAATTTGCTTGCAATGCAGGAAACACAGCAGACTTAAGTTTGATCCCTGGGTCAGAAAGATCCCCTGGAGGAGGAAATGGCAACCCACGCCAGTATTCTTGCCTGGAGAATCCCATGGACAGAGGAACCAGGGAGCTACAGTCCAAAGAGTCAGACACAATGAGTGACTAAGCACAGTGTACCAAAGCACATTATAAAATTATATGAATTAAAATTGTATTACTGGCATGTGAGCAGGCAGACAGGTGAATAGGATAGAATAGAGTCCAGAAGTAAAACACCTACACTAGATAAAGTAAGGGAAACTGGTTTAATGAAAGAAAGGGGAAAAAGATGAATGACTCATATAAAATGAAATATTATTTCCCATTCTCATAATGTCCAGAAACAGGTGCTCCTGCTTGGCAGGCTCTCCTCCAGATGAGGACTCTGGAGCTCATGCTCCTTCCGTCTTGAGTTCTGCCTCCCTCAACATGTGGCTTCCCATTTTCCTGGAGGGTATCTTTACTCCATCTGGCAAAAGACAAAGAGGATGGAGGAGAGTGTATGGGAGGCTGTGATAGGCCAGGCCCATCAGCAACTGAAACTGGGAAATTACCCTGTTGTGCACCCAGAGAAATGAAGGAAGAGCTTTAATGAATACATAGCATTCTCTCCACATGACCCCAATACACATGAAATTTAATATATCACCAGGGTGGTGTTCAGTATCAATAGTGAGATACGAATTATTCAATTGATGATGCTGAAGAACTGGATAGCTATCTCAAAATGTGTTGGATTCCCAATTCACTCCTTATAACAAACTTCAGTTAAATTTGAATGAGAAAAAAAAAAAAAAGGAAGACTATTAGAAAACACAGGAGAAAAGAGAAGGCCTTTTTTTTATAAAAGAAGCATGCCTGTGTGGACTGATGCTGAAGCTGAAGCTCCAATAATTTGGCCACTTGATGCCAAGAGCCAACTCATAGGAAAAGACCCTGATGCTGGGAAAGATTGAGGGCCAAAGAAGAGGGTGGCAGAGGATGAGATGGTTATAGCATCACTAACTTAATGGACATGAATCTGAGCAAACTCTGGGAGATGGTGGAGGACAGAGGAGCCTGGCATGCTGCAGTCTATGGGATCACAAAGAGACACAACTTAGCGACTGAACAACAGCACAATGCCTGTGTAGAAGACTCAAGGAAGTGTGGAGTTAAGACTGTGTAGTGCATTCACCCAAACACGACTATCCCAAGTTTCACAATCGTATTTCTTGCTTTTCAGGGCCCTTACAGTAACAAAGAACATCTGCTTTGGCTAGCATTCAGCATTGTAGCTCTGGCATTTTTATTATCAAGCTCTGAGGCTAATATTCAGCAGAGCCTGCCCTCCTGCTGCAAGAGGTAAGCATCTAATTAAAATCCACCATGAAAGCCTTCTGGCTCCCATGACATGCCCCGAGTTGAGAGCTGGCTGCCCTGGTGTGTCAGGGTTTTTCTTCAGAGCTTCCAGGAGAGTTAACAACAGTCAGCCACCTCTACAATCCTTATAAAACCATTGCCCCATACCTTTCAAGAGCTACTCTGTACTCCCAAGCCTGGTCCCTTCTAAACATTCCCTCATTCTTAAACAATCAGAGGTGTTAGCATGCTCCATGCCTCCAGCATGCTGTGGGTTATCACTACCCCTCCTCAGGCCTGGAAGGAAAGTTATGACCAACCTAGACAGCATATTAAAAAGAAAAGACATTACTTTGTCAACAAAGGTCCATCTAGTCAAGGCTATGGTTTTTCTAGTAGTCATGTATGGATGTGAGTTGGACTATAAAGAAAGCTGAGCACTGAAGAATTGATGCTTTTGAACTGTGGTGTTGGAGAAGACTCTTGAGAGTGCCTTGGACTGCAAGGAGATCCAACCAGTCCATCCTAAAGGAAATCAGTCCTGAATATTCATTGGAATGACTGATGCTGAAGATGAAACTCCAATACTTTGGCCACCTGATGCAAAGAGCTGACTCATTTGAAAAGACCCTGATGCTGGGAAAGACTGAGGGCAGGAGGAGAAGGGGACGACAGAGGATGAGATGGTTGGATAGCATCACCAACTCGATGGACATGGGTTTGGGTAGACTCCGGCAGTTGGTGATGGACAGGGAAGCCTGGCGTGCTGTGGCTCGTGGGGTCGCAAAGAGTCGGACACAACTGAGCAACTGAACAGAACTCCTCAGGCCAGCAGTGAGGCTCTTGAGGCCTCCTGGCATCGAGAGGGAGCAAATTCTCTAGTCCCATTCTCGAGGGTCAACTTTCCATAGCCATCTCTTTCAGTTCAGGTTCCCCCAAAAGCAGACCTGGAAGCAAGAATTACAGGGCAGGTAGTTTATTGGGGAGGTGATGTCAGGAAGAGAGGGCATGGGGAAAATGAGATAGAGAAAGAAGAAAAGGCAGTAAAAAATACATCAAAGAGAGAATTACTGCTACAATCAACAACAGCTGAATTCACTCTGAGGTGCTGCCAAGAATTGCCCACTGAGAGATGGAGAAGCTTACATATTTCTCCACCAGTTTCCTCTTCTTTATTGACTGGAGGTTGCCTCTGAGAACCTGACATGCTGCTTCTTCCCAGCCACCCTTGGAAGCCCACCCTTGCAGAGTGGACCATGTGCCATAGATGACCACTGGATGACTCAGGAGGAGAAGCAGAAAGATCTAGACGTAGTTGGATGCTGTCAGAATGCACAGGAAGTGTTTCTGACTTCAGGCAAAGTTACTGGTTAAACACCAACAGCATCTGCTATAGCAAGAATAAGGTACCGATTCTGTCTATATTCCTTTCAAGCAATTTTAAACAGCATCTGCTGTATTGCTGAAGGTGTGGGGAAACAGCACATTGATGTACGGTTGTTCAGAATGTGTGTTGATACAGCTTCTATGAAGGGCAATTGGATGGTAGCTGTCCATATTGAAGATGTATATAATTTTCCATCCAGGTTTAGAACTTTCACTGCTAGGAATTGATTCTACAGATATTGGTGCAAAGTCTTTCATACAAGTATTTTCATTGTACTTGTAGAGGATTGGGCAGAGGGGTCCTCCCCAGGACACTGGGTAAATTATTGTACATTCATACTTTAAGTGGCACCCTTAAACAGAATGGGATCCCCTCTGTGCATTGACATTGAACACTTACCAGGAGGTAGCAGAAAATATAAAATGATTAACGGTGTATTCAGTATACTATGGTATGAATAAGTGCTAAAAGAAAGTGTTTGTCTATCTACAAACTATCTCTAGGAGATTTCTACATGCTATGTATTTTACTCTTCTTGTAACTTTTTTGTTATACCTGGGTATTCAGGATAAGAGGTGGTGGCTCCAGGGTAATATTAGTCTACCAAAGGATAGACTGTGAAAACATGTATGATGAAAACTGACAAATAATAACAGAGTACAGCGAAGTGACTAGATAGCAAATAGTCATTCACAATTGGTAGTTTTCCTATTCACCAGTAATAGATAAAAAATGTAATCGAAAGGAATTTCCAACAGAAACCTAAGTATAAAACACCTAAAAATAAGCACAGCAATAAATATCTAAGATCTTTACAAGGGAAAAAGTAAACTATAGGACATAGATGAGGATCTAAATAAATGGAGAATATTTATGGTCCCAATATTTTATGATGCCAGTGCTCTCCAAATTGTTCCATAAAGACAGTGTAATCCCCTAAAATCCTAATAGCATTTAGTATATGGTTTAACAAGCTTATTCAAGAATTCATAAGGAAGGCTATAAGTAGCTTAGACAATTATGGAGGAGGGAGAAATTAAATGATCAGTAAACATAAAACTCAATATTGTTCTTCCTAGTCATTACAGACATGTAAATTAAATAAGATGTAACTTTTCACCACTTAATTGGCAAAAAAAAAAATCAAAAATGTTGACACTACCAATCAAGAGTGTGAGGAAATGGTATTCTCTCACTTGACTGATAGAAATCATTTATTTCTATTTAAGTTTCTCTGAAAAGCAACTTTGCAGTAACTATGAAAATGGTAATTAGTCATTCTGGATGGCCCAGCAATTCCATTTCTCAATATCTATCCTATATGCATCAATCATACATTTTAAGTGGCATGCACAAAGATATTCTTATCTATAGTTCACAGTTGCAAAGAAAAGAAAGAAAGGACAACAACCTAAACACCCATCAATACCTTCATGAATGGCTACACAAGCCATGGTAAATCCCTACTGTGAAATATTATGTAGTAATTTAAAAGAATGATGTAAATCAATATCAACTGACATGAAAAGAATAAAAAACAAGGTTTAGAATACTGAATTCAATAGCATCCCCCCACTTATGAAAAATATGAAACACCACAAAACAACGTTAAACACTTGTACAGATACAAACGTGTGGTTATACATTAATTTTTTAAAGATATTCACTGCCTGGGAGAGTCATCACAAGCCACATGGGGCTATGTAAAGTTACATTTAAGTTAATGTAAAATTAATTTTAAAATTCAGTTTTTTGGTCTCACCAGCCACAATTCAAGTGCTCAGTAGCCACATGTAGCCTGTGGCTACTGAACTGTGGGCACAGGTACAGAGCACCTCTGTTATTGCAGAGGACTCTCCCGAACGCTGCCAAGAGTCTTAATACCTGTTATACAATGGTCCTTTTCAAGGAGGGGTCCCTAAACCAGCATCTGCAACTAGGAGCTTGTGAGAAATGCAGAATCCTGGGTTTCCACCCCCACCCCCACCCCCATGACTTACCAAACCAAAATCTACATTTCAACAAAGTCTTTGGATAACTGTATGATCAGGAAGATTTAAAAGCTCTGCTTTTAATCTGCAGTGATATTAGCACCATCATCACCAACAGTGAGAAGTCACTTCAGCTGTTCTTCCCTCAGTGCCTGGGAAAAGACTTTACATTCATAAAAGCTGGGCCATTATCCACTGGTTATCAAGCAGTAGCATTTTGGTTTGAATTTCCTTAATTAAATGAGTTTTTAAATTTTGGGGTGCTTGTAGGATGGAACCTATTTTTTTAAGGAGGTAAAGAAATATACACATTTACTAATTATTCTTAAAGGATGCTTCACAGTTGCAAGATATCATTATCAACAAGAGATTTGAAAAGAAATACGGTAAGTGGTTCTGCAGATAACAAACAATATATGGGTGCTTGGCTCAGAATAAAATTTGCTGTAACAGCATCACTTACAAAGTCAAAATTGCACTTTCTTGAGAATATAGATAGAATTGAAGATGATATCCTCTTGAAATGTGTTAGAAAACTCAAAAAGCAATGATGAATCCATTGATACAGGCATTTCTGCTACTGAACAATTTTTTGAAAAAGCCAAATTTTCTTCTGAAAACTTGCACACTAAAAGTAACAGCACTTATAGGCCGGGAGGTTGGTTTGGAGGGGAGTGTTAAAGCAGACCACTCAAAGCAAATGCATTATGTAACAAGAGAACTTAAAAAATCATTTGTTTTTATTGAAGTCTAGTTGATTTATGATGTTTCACGAGTACAGCAAAGTGTTTCGTATATATGAATGCACAGATAGATAGATAAGATTCTTTTTCAGATTCTTTTCCATTATAGGTTATTTTAAGGTATTGAATATAGTTCCTTGTGCTATACAGTAGTTTTTATTGTTGTTTATTTTATATATAGTAGCCTGTGACTCCAATACTTTGGCCACCTGATGCGAAGAACTGACTCACTGGAAAAGACCCTGATGCTGGGAAAGATTGAAGGCGGGAGGAGAAGGGGATGACAGAGGATGAGATGGTTGGATGGCATCACTGACTCTATGAACATGAGTTTGAGTAAGCTCCAGGAGATAGTGAATGACAGGGAAGCCTGGCGTGCTGCAGTCCGTGGGATTGCAAAGAGTGGGACACAACTGAGCAACCGAACTGACTGATCTGTTAATCCCGAATTCCAATGTATCCCTCACCCTACTTTCCCCTTTGTAACAAGCTCATTATCTGTATCTGTGAGTCTATTTCTGTTTTGCATATAAGTTCATTTGTATCACTTTTTAAATTCCAAATATAAGTGATATCATACGGTATTTGTTTTTCTCTGACATGCTTTACTTATATGATTATCTCTAGGTCCATCCATGTTGCTGCAAATGGCATTATTTCATTATTTTTATAGCTGAGTGATATTCCATTGTGTGTGTGTGTGTGTGTGTATATATATATATATGTATGCCACATCTTCTTTATCCCTTTATTTAGGTTGCTTCCATGTCTTGGCTGTTGTAAATACTGCTGCTACGAACTTTGTGGTGCATGTATCTTTTCCAGTTGGAGTTTTCTCTGGGTATATGCCCAAGAGTGGGATTGCTGGATCATATGGTAACTCTATTTTTAGTTTTTTAAGGAACCTCAATACTGTTCTCCATAGTGACTGTGTGCCACCAACTGTATAAGAGGGTTCACTTTTCTCCATACCCTTTCCAGCATTTATTATTTCTAGACTTCTTGATGATAGCCATTCTGAAGTGTAAGGATACCTCATTGTAATTTTGATTTGCATTTCTCTAATAATTAGTGATGCTGAGGCTCTTTTCATGTGCCTGTTAGCCACCTGTATGTCTTCTTTGGAGAAATGCCTATTTAGGTCTTCTGCCGTTTTTTTCATTGGCTTTTTTTTTTAATTGAGCTGTATGAGCTGTTTGTATACTTTGGAAATTAATCCCTTGTCATTAACATCATTTGCAAGTATTTTATTCATCTATTGAGATGATCATATGGCTTTTATCCTTCAATTTGCTAACTGGTTTATCACATTGATTGATTTGCAGATAAAAAATCCTTTCATCCCAGGGATAAATCCCACTTGATCATCATGCATGATCCTTTTAATGTATTGTTAGAATTGGTTGTCTAGTAGTTTGTTGAGGGTTTTTACATGAATGCTCATCAGTGATACTGGCCAGTAATATTCTTTTTTTGTGATATCTTTGTTTTTTGCATCAGGATTGTGGTGGCTAGAATGAGTTTAGAAGTATTCCCTTCTCTGCGATGTTTTGGAATAGTTTCAGAAGGATGAATGTTAACTCTTTAAATGTTTGGTAGAATTCACCTATAAAGCCATCTTGTTCTGGACTTTGTTGGGACTTTTTAGGTTATTGATTTAATCAGTACTGGGAATTGATTGGTTCATATTTTCTATTTCTTCTAGGTTCAGTTTTGGGTGATTCTCCATTTGTTCTGGCTCACCCATTTTAGTGGTTCCTATGATCCTTTATATTTCTGTGGCATAATTTATAACTTCTTTTTCATTTCTGACTTTATTGATTTGGGTCATTTCCCTTTTCATCTTGATGAGTCTGGTTAAAGGTTTATCAGTTTTGTTTATCTTTTCAAAGAACCAGCTTTTGGTTTCGTTGATCCTTTCTATTGTTTATTTTAATCTCTGTTTCGCTTGTTTCTGCTCTGATCTTTATGATTTCTTTCCTTCCATTAACTTTGAGTTTTGTTTGTTTTTCTTTCTCTAGTTGCATTAGGTGTGAGTTTGGGTTATTTATTTACAGTTTTTCTTGTTTCCTAAGATAAGCTTGTATCACTATAAATTTGCTGCTGTGCTGTGTCCAGTAGGCTTTGGATTGTCATGTTATCATTTTCTTTTGTCTGTAGGTATTTTTTTATTTCCTCTTCGATTTCTTCAGTGATATATTGCTTGTTTAATAGCATATT